TATATTAAACTGTAATATGTAATAAATGAATTATAACTACATATAATAATATATAGTTGGAAAATTGTCCATGTAAATAACTGTCAATATATATGATACAATATTTCTGTATTTAAGATTCCTGTAAATTGTTTGATATACGGAATAGCGGAGGATGTGCTGTGGTGCGTCGGGTGCCTCTGGAAGAGGGGGAAGAGAAATGCCCGTGCCCTGGCTCGGCCGTGCGCGCGTGGGGCTGTGTCTGAGCACTAACGGGATTCAGGAGAAGCAAGTAAAAACTGGGACTTTTTTTGCAGCTTCTGAGATGTATCTGGTTTCATACGGTGGCTGAAAAAGACATTTAGAAATTCCCGTTTAACAGGTCTGATCTGGATGCCTAGAAGTCCTGCTGTGAATCCATTTTTCCTGCCAGGAGGATTTATTTAATAAGCAGCTGCCGTGCACGGAGCAGTTCTGGCCAAGGATAAATCAGAAGGAATTTAAACAGCACCCATGGATATCTGTATCTCCTGTCCCTTTGCACGGATTTCAAGTTCAGTCATTTAATAGAGGTGTTACTCATCCTTCCTCTGTTAGCGTGCCCAACTCAGCTGTGTTTATGACTGCAAAATTGGTTTTTTTCTGTATTTAGGAGCTTTAAAATCAGGTATAACCTCTGCTCTCGTGACACTAGCTTGTTTTCAATTGAATGTTTTCCACTGCACCTGATTTGGTTTACTTGTTTGTATTCTAAAAACACAGACCGTCCGCACAAAAATGACTGGGCAGCTTGAAAGAATAAAGAAAAATTGAGCATTGCCATTATTAGATCGGCAACTGAGATATTCTGGAAAGACTGACAATTTTTTTTAAATCCATTTACAGAAGTTTTACAAAAACATGAAGGCTATTTGTTGCAATGCCTGAAATAATACCTGTATTTCTGCTCTGCTCTCTGTCCTGTGAATATTTTAATGCTTTCAAGATATGCACGCACTCTATTGAAAGAATAAATGTAGTATTTTTTTATAATATAGAATATATATCTATATCTTCTATGTTCTATGTAGAACATATATACAATATGTTCTATATAGAAGATATATAAAATATAAATATAGACTGTAAAATAATAACAATGGATTATTGTCACATGTCATTTTGGACATCTTTTACACCTTCTTGCCCGATGATTTGCAGGGCTGGGCACAACATAGGTAAGGCTTTGTACTGAAACCCATCGATCTGCAAAAACCTCCTGGTCCTACTTAAAAACCTTTTGTCTTTGTCCAATTTTTTGTGATTTTTTTTCCTTTTGTCATTTAAGATGACATCTTTATTTACTGCTGATATCAGGGTTTGGGGTTAGATGTAAAATCCCATTGTTTTCCCTTTTAGGTACGGATGTTCCTTGCTGCGGAGAGGAAGGTGACGGTGGGAGACAGGAGAAGGGTGGTCCATCCTTGGAAGGAAAGGAAGAATAAATTAGGGACTCTGATTTGCCAGGACATTGTGGCTGGGGTGACACTGTGATGGGCAATGCCGTTACTCGTATATCGCCCTCCATGGATCCAGGCACCATGCCATGAGCAGAGATGCACAGAAATATTTTCCCATTGGTTTTCATGATGGAAGCATCCCTTTTCCATTTCTGTGCCATAACAGGGTGTCCCTGACCCTCGGCTGGTATCAACATCGTCCTTTCAGCACAGTGACGAGGTAGGAAAGAAATCCAAAGAAGTTGCAGATATCAGGGGACAGGGCTAATTTTCTCAGACATAAAAGCATCTTTTTATTAGTGTTTCTGTTTCTTTCTTATATATGCTCTGGGAAAAAAGATTATGAAATAGGAGGTGATTTTTTCCACCGCCCTCACAGTTGTGAAACCTGCTGCTAAAATCTCTCCAAGGTTTACTGTCTTAAAACACCCTATTGATGATTATAGGAATTACCACAATTTTTTCATTGTTTCCATTGGTAAACTGCCCAAACCTGTATTTCATCAGGACAGGTAGCATCTTTGACTGTTGTTCTCCTCTCCTGTTTTCACTGCACACAGATGATGTGGAGTTGGGGTTTTATTTATTTATTTATTTATTTTTCAAATTACAAAGTAACAACAAAACCAAATTGGGGAATTCAAACATTGAGCAAATCCTTTGCTGCCTGTTACAGTTATTAACGGGTGGGCAGAGAGCCGAGGGGTAAATCCCCATCCTTTGAACGGGTGTTACTGGAGTTGGGATAATCTGGTGGTTGAAGTCTACCACGGCAAAGATGGTGCCGTCCCCGGGGATTTTCAGCGAGGGTCGGACACTGCGGGGATGGGCTGAGCGTGGGGATGGAGGGAGGACGAGTGAACCAGGCAATGTTATCCCCAAGGCCACTCACCTTCCCATGGAAGAGGAGGATTGGGCTGTCACAGCCTGCCTTTTGCTGTCCAGACCTGGCCTTAGCTGCTTGGCCATGGAAGGTCATCTCTTGTGCTGGCCGAGAGGTGAAGCAGGTATGGACATTGAGGTCAGGATGCCTCAAGAGTGGGAAATGGAGCTAGGATTTCAAAAGCAGCTGCAGGCAGAGGGAAAAACCTTGGCTTTGAAAGAATAAGCCTTTGTCCAGTTTCACAGGGATTTCCTTATAACTATCCTGTAAAAAATGTATATTATAAAACTCATCTGCTCCCAGGGCAAAGATCTGCGCACCGAGTGCTTGCAGGGTAGAAAAACAGTGGGTTTAGTTCATTTGAGCTTTCACAGAGGCTAAAATATGCTGCTGGTATGATGGGTCAGAAGCAGGGATGCTCAGGGACCCCTCCCTGCAGCACCCCTGGTGGGATGGGGTCTGGGGTCAGTGTCCCCTGCAGTCATCAGCTGGGTGGCCCCAGAGCCTGGGTGAGCATCACAGCTGGGGAAAGCTGGCTCAGCGTGGTCCGCTGATGGCTTTATTAATGCATCATGTGGGGGAAACATCCATCACAAGGAGCACCCATAGCTGGGTTTGAGACTAAGCCCTCCAGAAAAATCTATATCGAAGTGGAGAGGGGCAGCTCCCTGTGGCTGGGAGGGGAGGGAGGGTAAGGCCCGAGCTGTGCCACTGTGATGCTTTATACCTGCACAAGCTCTTCCCACGCCTGTGTTTGCCCCGGCCGTGGGGATCCTGGAGCCTCATCCAGTCTTGGCTTGTGAGCAGCTGTAAGGACACACTCTATGTGCAAGGATGGTAGATCCCTGCAGCTTCCCCAGCAGTAAAAATAGCTGCTGGTCTTCCCACCCACGCTGGGGACAGGAGGTGTCTAAGCTACTTTCCCCTTGCACTCCCTGTAGCTGATACAGCCTTGCACCCGTGCCCGTGTTTGAGCAGAGATGTGGGGCTGGGGATGCACCCGGGAGCAAGCACCCACTGCCTGCGCACAGCAAGATGCTGAATTTCCAGTCCCACATCAACCTTGCAGCCCCAGGTGGTGGCTGAGCCTTGTTAACATCCCTGGGGAGACCTACCCTGCTTCTGGCATCACTCGGGGCTGAGCATCCACGGGCATTGCTTGGGGCTCAGCACACACGGGCATCGCTCGGGGCTCAGCACACATGCCTGTTGCTCGGGGCTCAGCCCATACGGGCATAGCTCGGGGATCCGCACCCACGGGCACTCGAACTCAGCACGATCGGGGCTCAGCACACATGGATATTGCTGGGGACTCAGAATGCTCTGGGCTCAGGGCAATTCCCGCCGCCTGTGCCGTGCTGCTGGGCTCAGGGCCAGCCCTCGGCTGCCTCTGTTTGTTCTCCGAGGCGATGTTGGCCTTCGGGCTGTACCAGGTGTTTGACCTTGTGTACATGGCTTTGTCTGGCTTTCCTCTCCCACTCTTGGCTGTTTGCAGTCTCCCATGGGAGAAGACACCCTCCCAGACCTGCTCCTGCCCGGAGCTTTTGCTCTGCTTTAACTCTTCCTTGGGCAGAGGCCACAAGACATCAGGCTGCAGAGCAAAAAGACTGAGCGATATATTCACTATTGCTAACGAACGTGCCTGCACAGGGCCTTTACAAACTGTGCACTGACCTGCCCCTGCATCTGCTGGTTCCTCTCAAAGGGTTCGTTACCGAAGCCTTATCAACCAGCGTTAGCAGGAGCAAACTAAAAGCACCTTCGTGCTGTCCTACAGATGAACACAGAGGAGAGCCGAGGAGCTCACAGCATCTTTCCAGCCCATCCGAATCCCTTCGGTACACCAGCCCTGGTGCCCCAGTGCAGAGCCAGCCGTGGCATTTGCCCTGCTCGGTGCCCTTTGATAAATGCTCAGCACGCTGCAGAATCCAGCCTGGTCCTTTTGCCAGCCGTCGTGTCAAGAAAAAACATTAAAGGCACGGTCCGTCGCAGGAAGGAAATGTCTGCCTCGCGGTACAAGCCCATGTCTGTCCCCTGTAACGTCCTTCCTGGGTCACATCGAGGCAGGGCTCAGCACCGTGCAGGGCAGGGTCCGTAGCTTCTCCCTGCCTGTCCGAGGTGGGGGGAGCCAGTGGGATTTACTGCCTGTGGATGCGAAGCCACAGCCTTCGCCGCAGACCTGGGGAGAGATGGTGTCCATCAGCCTCGAGACCCCCTCCCAGCTCCCCATCCAGCTCCTGGGCTGTCCCAGGACCTGACACCCCTCATCGTCCCCTGGGGCTGGCAGGATGCTTACGGTGGAGGCGATGGGCGGTGTGGACCAGGCTCAGCAGAATGACAAGGACACCGGTGGCCAGTGGGACCCAGATCAGGGGGCTGCAGGCACCTGGCAAGAAGGAAAGGACTCAGCACCTGGCAGCATGCTGCCCCGGCAGTTTTGGGGGATGGAGCGTGGGGTGGGAAAGGGAGAAAAGCAAGGCAGGTCCTCAGAGGAGGGGTGAAGGACACGATCATCACCTGGGGTATCCCTTGGAGGATGCATTAAACATGAAAGCATTGGCAGGGAACTTAGCTATGAGTCGCAATAACCTAAATTGAAATACATCCTGGCCCCTAAACCTTTGCATATCCCAGGGAACCACTCCTAAAGGCAGAGGTCAGCTCCATCCAGAGTGGTGGGTCTAGGTGGACCCAGATGCCCACCCTTGCAAGGTCACGTTGTGGTTGCCCCCACCCAGGACAAACTCCAGCTGAACACTGGGGACCCCCAGGAGCTCAGCAAACCCCTTTTGCAAGGCAGCGTGACCCGATCGGGTGCTGTACCTTTCTTGCTGGCAGCTTTGCTTGTGG